TCCAAGAAACCCATCACTTGCTCTTCCAATCTTTTCAACATTAAAAAAAAACCAAGATAACAAATTGATTTCACATTTAGCAGTGCCTTTCACCTTTTCTAAACAACTTAGATCTGTTTTATGAGAGAGGATGAAAATGTCCTTGTTAACTAGAAAAATTAACGAGGAAATGATTTTGTTAGATTAACATCTGTAATGAGAGAGAATAAGGAAAAGATTTGGTTAAACATCTATAAAGATGGGCAAACATCTCTAGTGCCGTTATTTGCATTGCAACTTTATTTCAGAATACACAGTGTTTTCACCAAGTCTCACTTATGCTTAAAATATCCTATGAGATCAATAGAGGCAAATGGTACTTCACCTGTCAATGGGGAAACTGAAACACAAGAATGGTGAAAATAACTTTCACAGGGGACAGCCTATTTTAGCCTGGCTGACTCGTTCTAAACTCAAAGTGTATGTCATGTGTGGACAGGCATTAATGCCAGAAATGCTATAGCACTATTTGTAACTTAGGGACTGCCAGAGTTCTCAGCAGAATCTCATGAGAATGTCAACAGTCTTCCATAATTCACTCTCTTGGGACATAGAGACTAAGAGACCAATCTGAGCCTTATACACATAGAACTCAAGACACCGCAGATAACAAAGGTTTTGATTTCATACAGTTCAGTCATGGCTTGTATTATAACACAGCATGTGTATGGAGAAAGTAAAGAGATGTATAAAGAAAGGATTGTAGCACTGTTGTTAATAGAAAAATAAAATTTTCTCTTTTAAATACACTTCTGCCCCCTTGCTAGACAATTACATTTTATTAAAAGTAAGAAAATATTTAATAAGAAATAAATGGGTAGAAAGTAAGCATCTGAAGAGCACTGCATTAGATGATCTCTAGGGTCTGTTGTAGGTTAGAGTCCCATGACTCAAAGGATAAATTGATCAAGCTCGTTCAGTTTATGGGATTGGTCCATAAGAAAGGGACACTTGAAGTTTTAATTTTGAAATCCACGTGGTGATTTAAAGTTGAGATAACAAAAGCCATTTTTCTTCTGAAAAATAAACAGAACAGTACCATGATAGAAATAATTGTTCCATCTCAAACCACTGAAGAAAGAGAAGGATGACATCTTCAGCATGGGAGAATCTAAGCATATACAATGACCTTTTTCTAGTCTTATCAATGTTTCTTTGACCCTTTCTAAACAACATAGATCTGTTTCATGAGAAAAGGTAAAAATGTCCACATTAAGTAGAAAAATGGCCTCAAAACAGTGTTAATGGGCAAATCGAAACCTTCTAACTCTATTCTCCACAAGTTGTCAGGCAAAACACTTCTTATGGACGGCATGGAGACGGGGAGACAGGGAGCTGTCAATGTGAAGACCTGGAGCCAGCCCAGGTTCTGTCAGTAGCTAATGACAGGAACCCAGAGGGGTCCTGTATCATCTCTGGGTATCCTAGCTTCCCTACTTCCTGTAATGCCAAAACTTTAATTGGTCAATTTAAAACTTGAAGGGAAAACTTTGACACTTTGTAATCTCCTATGTGCAATTAGTGGTTAAATCTTCATGATTTTTCTCTAAATATATCAAACCTATCTTCCCTTTTCTGCCTTATTTCTATGACCATACTCCACATTCTCAACCTCACTCCTAAATCATTCCAACCACTTCCTCTATCTCCCTAATCTTCTAAACTTGTTGAAATAATAATATTGCTAAAGACCTGAATTTACCTTATTACTTACCTCTTCAGTTGTTCCTCAACATTTATACGACAGTATGTAATAATCTTTAGACAGGTCATAGGATTTTACAAAAATTAACCTCACCTATTTTTCCATCTTCTCTGCCATTACTTGCCAACTCTGTACAAGATCACCTGCCCCTGGCCTTTTCTTAGTGCACCTTCGCCCTCAAAGCCAACATCCTTTTTTCATTCCACCTCATGTTTCTCCTCCACTTCTCTGCACGGGGATGTCACTCCTTATTGTTTATTTGTTTTATGGCTGGTGGTGTGAGGACTATACGACTGTGAAGTGTATAAAAGTAACTTTAACTAGAACTCTTCTTTTGGAGATTTTTTTTCCAGCTTCACTGAGACATAAAATGACAAAACTAAGATACATAAAGCATACACGATAATGATTTTATATATACAGTAAGAAAGAATTCCCCTATCAGGTTGATCACCACATCCATCACCTCACACATTTAGGGTTTTTTTTTTTTGTTGTTGTTGTTCATTTGTTTGTTTTTGGTGAGAACACTTAAGTTCTACTCTCTTAGTGAATTTCAATTATATAATACAGTGTTATCAACAGTAGTCACCATGCTATATGTTAGATCCTCAGACCTTATTCATCTTGTAACTGAATGTCTGTACCCTTTTACCAACTACCCAAATTCTTCCTGTCCTTCAAGACTAGACCACAACTTTCCTTTGTGAAGTCTTCCCTTACCCGTTTTAGTCTAAATGGGCCCTGCCATTCTTTGAACTTCCAGCGTTCTTGTCTGCACCACTCACCTGGGCACCTGGGCACCTGTTTACTGGTGACATGACTGAGCTGTGTAAGATGTTCTGATTCTCTCTGAATCACTCTGAAAAAACTATTACTACCCCAGGGCTTTGTGACATTTCTCCTCTAACTGAAACACTCTTCCCCCATGTAACCTTATGGTATGTGTATATTATTTTTTTATGTTTTTACTCAAAAAAATAATTTTATCATGAGGTCTTTTCTGACTGCTCCATCTTTAGTTATTTATTCTCCATGCCTCCAATTTCCTTTCTCTGCCAACATTTTTATGCTGAGCACTTCTTGGTATTCGTCATACTATACATTTTTATTTATGTCTGTCTCCCACTCTATAAACAAGGAGAGAGATTTTCATCTATTTTGCTCATTCATGCATTCCAGTTCCTAAAGAGTGCCTGATATTTGATAGGTGGTCAAGAAATACTATTTGAATGAATTTAGTATTAAAAAACTAAAAGCAACATTACTAACAGTGATTAATAATAATAAAGAGATGTTAATTTAAAATTGAAAACTTACTGTATGCCCAGTCCTGCACATATTATCCATATGATATTATATAATTCCATTATTATTTAACTCAGACCTATTTCCCCTTTGCCAAATAAAACAAGGCTTAAAGGGGTTAAATAATTTCCCCAAGAACACACAGCTAATAAATATGACTAAAGTTAAGCCTTAGGCTTATTCACTATTGAAAATAAGTTCTAGGCTAAGCTTACCCAACTGTAAAAAAAAAATGCAAAATTAGATTATTTTGAGTATGAGAGAAGGACTCCTCCAGGAGTTACTTGAAAATCTTGTTTTAAAAAAGTAACAGCTAATATTTTAATTTCCTGGCCTCTTTTTTTTGTCAGTAATTTATCTTATATTTTTCCCTAAACTTTTGCTTTTCCATACTTACCCACCCTTCACCTCCCAGAAGAGAAAATCTTCTGACTAATGTTATGCTTTCACTATAGAGATAAAAATTCTATCTTAAAAATGTGTCTCCACTCTCATGTTAAGGCCAAGCACAGAACGAGCAGCCACAGTCCCCACAGTGAGAGGCAGAGAGCATCCACTAAGGGAGGAGGGGAAAAGCAGAGAATGCTCTATTCATAATTACCTAAGATTTTCCAGCATGAGAGGGGAAAGAGGAAGTCTATTTTCAGTGACAATGATTACTCTAAAAACATTAACATGCAAGGGGAAATTTTTCATTCTGAGCGTTACTACTGTGCTGAGTTCTCTTTCCCTTACACAGTGACTTAAAATTCCCAGGGCAGAGAGGTAATCTAGGCAGATGCACTTGCCCTGTGTCTCGAAAATGGCAACATCCAGGAATCATGGGAGTTTAACTGAGGACACCCTGGAAAGGATTTCTCAGCACCAGGTCAGTCTCTAAGAAGTATCAAATGGCAGAGTGGATACTTATATCCTCAGGCATCTGGAGTGAGGGCAGAGATTACAGCTGCACGGGCTTTTTAGAAGATTTGCTATGCTGAATGCATAAACAAGATCCAGTGAAACTAAAGCTGAATTACCTGCTAAAAGAGTTATAGAACGGGGGAAAAAAGCCTCATTCTTCTCTTTCTCCAGCTAGCCTGCATTTTTTTTCCTACAATGCATTTAACTGGCTTATGGTACAGGCAAACGTATATATAGTAGAGTTCATTCTAGCATTCATCATAAATATTTTGGGGAAAAAGATACACCAGTTCCCTCCTTCCACATGTCTATATAAATGATAATAATCTGATTAAAAAACAAACAAACAAAAAAACAAAACCTTAGGTTGGGACACTCATTAACAGGTTTGTGGCATTCAGAACAAATTAGTCTTTATTAAAATCAACTATAAGAACATAACGAAAAAAGTGTCTTTCTCTCTGTCAGTACCTCTATTTGTACTTTCAGGAAAATCATGTGAAACAAATCCCATAGGCTCTCCTGAGATCTGTCATCCTAAGCTTGAATTCTCTGCTAGTTCCATGAGGCCAAGCGGTCGTGAAACCCAGCTGCCTAGGCTCAGGAGGTGCTCACTTCTCAGGCCAGCAAATGACCACAAATAGCACTTCTGGGGGATCCTCAACAAGACTGAGACAAAGTGGCTGTAAGTGAGGTCCACACGGAGAGGAGGCACACTGAGACAGGTGGCTAGAGACAGCACCTTTCTCATGCTGACCATTATATTTGAATGGTTCTTATCTCTCTTTCATTAAAAATGACAGACATTAAGAATCTGATAAAAATCTTTCCTCCAGGAAAAAAAAATACATACATCAAAGTCAACACACAATTTTAACAGATTCAAGACCTTAAAATTTAACCCATGTGTCCTAAGCATAGATAACAGAGGCATTTGAGAGAGTTCAGAGTAACTTTAGAGTTGAAGGCTGGAAGAGAGGCTGACCATTAAATCAGGAATAAACTTACGCTTGTAAGCAAGTACCGACTGTCCCCAGGGTCTTACCAGCAGCTCTGCCCCTCACTGCTCCTCCTGGATCATGGCCTGCTGGCTGCTGCTGAGCCCATCTCCTGCTTCCACATGTGGCAGCTCAACAGGAGCAAGGGCGACTGACAGTCTCGGGAGGGTCTGCTGCTGAATGTTGGCCAGCCTGGAAAAGACACAGAGTCTGAGTATTTTTAAGTTAGCCAAAAGGAACAAGGCATGTACATCTGGTATGAAAGCTACTGCACAGAGTTTAAAGGTTTTAGACGCCTATAATTAGATATTTCCACCATGCCACTGGCTGCGAAAAAACTCGGGGCAGGAGGATCTTTCTCAAAGCAGTGAAACGCCCAACCACACCATAATATATGGTCTAATATTTGTAGAGCGGTTTGCAATATCCAAAGCATCTCTGCCTGCATTAGTGGTCCTCACATCTTGATTGCGGCCATCAATTAGATTTGAGACTCACTGGCTTGTATTACTTCATCTGCTGAATCCAATGGTTCTCAGCCTTGGTTATAAAAGCATCACCTGGGGATAAAGCTGAGGCTTCAGGCTCAGAGAGTCTGATTTGTTGGCCTAAAAGGAAGCCTCACTCCCCAGGTATCTCTAAGGTGCAGCTAGGATTGACAGTCACTAGGTTAAGTCCTTGTACGTGCTGAGGTGCAGCACTGACTTAACTCACAAATAGGAAATACTTATTCCCAACACACTGTATCAAGGCAATGTGCTAAATGCTATGGAAAAAGTAAAGCATCATAACATGTGGCCCCTGTGCTCCGGGGCTTTAACTTAGCTGGACACATACTTTCAAAAGATCACACAATCACATAAATACTTTAGAAATATAACCAAACTAAAGCTTTACTGGTCAAAGATGTAGTGAAAATCCTGAGAGCTACAAAAACTAGAGATAACCATGCACTGAAATAAGGGGAAAAGATTAGTACACGGGGAAAGGCTTCTGCTGAGTTTTAAGGGCAGGGTGAAATTCAGAGAAAGAGGAAGAGGGGCAGGGCATTGTTTTCTGGGAAAGACACAGCTGCAAGAATATGCGAAGCAAACTGGGGGAGACTAAAACGCCCATTCGGATTGAAGGATTTCTATAAAGGAGCACTGGGAGGATTTGGAGACGCAGTTTTGAGCCAGAATGGAAAGAGTATGGGTAAAATGGCAAAGGAGTTGGGCCATTTTCCAGAATATCTGGAAACAGTATCTGAAATAGTATTGGAAGCTGCTGAAGGCTCATGTCCCGGGAGGTCTTGGTAAATTTACTGGGCTCTTAGTAAACGCCAGACACTGTGCTAGAAGCACTGTGTATGTTCACTCATTCAACACAAACATCTGGAGAGGTAGTTATTATTATTCCTATTTTACAGAGTCAGAAGGGAGATCACTTAATTTTCTCGAAGTTGCATAGCTAGAAATAGTAAGCTGAGACTGGGACGTGCTGTTTCTCTAGCAACATGGCATCATATAAGTCATGTATTAAGATTTAGGGTTTTTTAAATTGAGATATAATTCATACACCATAAAATTCATTCTTTTGAAGCATATAATTCTGTGGGTTCAGTATATTCAAAAAGTTGTGCCATGATCGCCACTACCAAATTCCAGAACAATTTCATCACTCCCAAAATAAATCCAGTCTTCCTTCATCCCTCCTCCACCTAATCAACTTTCAGTTTTTGTGGATTTGCCTATTCTGGAGATTTCAAATACATGGAATCATGAAACAGTTGGCTTTTTGGTTTTGATTTCTTTCGCTGAGCATTGCTTTCAAGCTTCACCTGTGTTTTAATATGTATCAGTACTTCATTCCTTTTTACAGCAGAGCAGAGTCCCACCCCATAGATATACCACACTCTATCTATCCATGATGCGTATCTGGGTTATTTCTACACTTGGGGTATTATGAAGAATGCTACTATGAACATTAATTTATAAATCTTTCTCTATTATGGTAAAATATATGTAAACATAAAATGTACTATTTTAACCACATTTTAAGTGGCATTAAGCACATTCACATTGTGGTGCAACCATCACCACCATCCATCTCTAGAACTTTTTCATTTTCTGAAAACTAAACTCTGTACCCATTAAATAACGCCCCCTTTTCCCCTCTCCCAAGCCCCTGACAACCACCATTCTACTTTGTCCCTAGGAAGTTGACTATTCTAGGTATCTTATGTAAGCAGAATCATATTTATCCTTCTGTGACTGGTTTATTTCACTTAGCATAATGTCTTCAAGATTCATCCATGTTGTGACGGGTCAGATTTCCCTCCTTTTTAAGGTAGGACAGTATTGCACTATACGTATATGCCACCTTTTGTTTTTCTATGTATCTGTTGAGAGACACAGATTGCTTCCACCTTTAGGATATGATCAGTAATGCCGCTTTCAACATAGGTGTTCATTGTTTATAAATTTTTGTATGGATATATGTTTTCAGTTCTCTTGGGAGTAGAATTCCTAGGGGGTGGAATCACTAGATCATATGATAATTCTATGTTTAACCTTTTGAGAAACTGCCAGACTGTTTTTTACAAAGCCTCTGTGCCATTTTACATTCCCATCAGCAATATGAGGATTGCTGTATGGGGATTCCAGTTTTTCCACACCCTCACTAACACTTGTTATTCTCTATTTTTTTAAAGCCATCCTAGTGGGAGTAATGAAGTAGAATATTTAGGGGTTATGATTCATTGTTGCAGTAGTTCAGGTATAAAATATAATTCTGAATAAGAGGGTGTCAGAGGAAATGAAATAAAATGATCAAGCAGAGAAATATTACTGGTTGAGAAATAAGTGGATATTAGTAACACTCTAGATGTAGGGAGAAAAAGAAAGTCAATTATAGTGATAAAGCTTTGAATTTGGCTATCTGGATGGATGATGGTATTAATCAGACAATTCTATAAAGGAATTTGACATGACAGAATATACTTACATGATGTTTTTGAGGAATCTATGCATTTCAAATAAATAATCAGCAGACAGGTAAAGTTCAGCTTAGGGTGGGAAACAATGAAATACTTAATGATTTTAGAAAAGATCAAAGCAGCATTATTAGGACTAGAAGAGGGTCACCGTCTGTACATGCTTAGATTCCTAAGGCTGGGTTTAGTAACTTATTGACCAAACATCGAGAAAGGAAAGAAACACTTGTCTTCCTGTTTTCTGTTTAAAATAGTAATACAAACCCCAAATGGGTAATGTATTCTTTACACTCAGAGTTTTATTGGAACTTAGTGTTGGATTTTTGGATTGGACTTTTATCTATACTGTGGGGCATTCAGGACAGCGGTGCCCTTGGCTCAGTGCGCCTGCTCTCTAAGGGCTGGCACAAGATGGGGAGTCCTGGAGAAATAAGTGTCACCACAAGCAGTTATCTGATTGGCTGGGAACCAAGCTGGCAAATTATCAAGGAGAACATGAAGTTCCAGTTTTCTATGCCCCAGACAGCCCCCTTATAAAGCAAGGCCATCTGAACAAACAGAATGTACACCTCTAAGAGACCACAAGGCTCCCATTAGAACACAGTTCCTCAATGGTCAGTGATCCTGGCTTTGTCCGGTTTGGGAAAGTCTCCAACGTGGTAACATTCAGGAATCAATACAGTGATGACTCACGTGCTTTGGGTATCAGTACTACTTAGGCTGCTGTTGTAAACAGTCTCAAAGAAAATGTGCAACACTGTCAGTCTGCTTATACATTGAGTTTTCCCTCTGATATGCTGAGATGATAAGAACAAAATCACTCAGAAGGAAAAACAGAAAAAAAACATGAAGGGTAACTGCTGCAAACGACAGCAGGTTAAGGTCAGAGTCACGGAGACAAAAGGAGAGAAATATAAGAATGAAAGCCTGTGAGCATATTTAAATGTTCTCGCTCCCACATATCCACATGTTTAATTGAATGAAATAAACCTCACGGTCAAAATCACAGTCTTTCTGAGGATGATGTGGTTCCAACACAGATTTTTCTTTTGCTTCCCTAAATTAAAGCTTATTCTGGTAATTTTACCTTCATCAACTATCCACTGTGTTTTAAAAGGATAGTATCTTTCTGCAATTTGTTCTTTACTGAATGCATTCTGAGTTAACTTAGTCTTCAAACCACGATCAGTCCTGTCCCTTAGCACACACCTTGTGGGTGGCAGGCCTCCAGAGCTGTGCTCTTATCCACCGTGCTTCACAGCCTCCACCAGCTTGTAGGAGAGTCGATGAAGAATACATTTCAGTTTGGTGAAAGGTAAGTTATTCTATATTTCAAACCCTAGAAGCGGATATTTTCCTTCAAAAGTGAAACAAAACTTCTCTTTACAAACCAGTCACTCTACTATAGACATGCATATATATCAATGCCTGCTATTCATTGTGTACAAACATCTTCCTTTGGGGCCTTCAATACATTCTCCTTTCAGTCGATGGATCCTCCACTGATCAAGTCATTAAATACTTCCATCACAAACAGGGCACTATGTTTAATCTGTTGGATCTAGTCCTTCCTTTCCCCTGTGCACTATTCGTCCCCCCTCATTGCAGGTCTCGTCAAAGCTTCCCAGCAATGGGTGTTTCCTTCCTGCTGTCATGCTGCTTCCCTGTCCATGTGATCCTCCTCCAGGTCTAAATGGGGTCAGACTGGAAGTTCCCTGAACAGCAGGTTACTGACCTCAGCAGGACATCCCCAGGAGTCAGTTCTCCTCTGCCCTTCTCCCCCGTCCCCACCATGCACAAGCACGTACACATGCTCATTCTCTACCCATCTCGCTCCCTCTCTCCACAAGTAAATGATCCCAACTGTAAGGTGCCCAAAGGGAAGTGCTATTTCAGGATGTCGGCTACTTGGCAGCAATGGCTGTTCTATTAATGCTTAAAAAAAAAAATCACTACAGTAGTTAAAGATCTAAGAGGAAAACTAAAGGAAATCCTTATACATACTTACTCTCTGTGCTTCCTAAGACAAAGTGGTGACTCCAAAGAAAAATTCAGTAAGCATTTACAGAACAAATTCCACTAAGATAAAATGTGTGTATGTGTATATATGCATACACACACACACACACACCAGACAAGCTTGCTTCTAATGAACAGCCTTTACAGAGCTAAAATTGCCAAACGAAGCTGAAATATTAGGCAGCAGTTATAAACTGAC